TCACGGTGTGTCGCGAAGTTCGTCTACTCCTCGTTCGGCATCCCTCGGATGTTTTGGCTGAGCCTGGCCAGCGCAAGGCAGACGTATTATGTGTTGTTACAGTTTCAGTTTCTGTATTGGCTGAACCTGGCCCGCACAAGGCAGACGTATATGAGGGTGTCTGGAGCTGTGTACAATAATTGTGAAGAATATTCCGAGGGACCTGAGCATTTCTACTTCGTTGGAGTGCTGTGCAATAATGGTGAAGGGGCATTTGAGGAACTGGTGCATCGTTCTTGATCTTGGTGTTTGTCGGCATCGCGGTGGTGGCGTAGGAGGTGTGGTGGTTCCAGGGCAGTGCTTTTTTGCTAAAATTAAACGTCATGCTCACGTCGCCTGGTCTGGTTTGTGGGAGCGCAAGAGTGGCAATTCGGGTCGCAGTTCCTCGTCGTCTTCTACGTCAGCCTGATCAGGGGGTGGCAGGGTGGTATATTGACTCAGTCATATGGTGATGCTCATGCTCATGCTCCTCCTCCTCCTCCTCCTCCTTCTCATCATCATCATCATCATCATCATCATCATCATCATCATCATCATCATCATCATCATCATCATCATCATCATCATCATCATCATCATCGTCATCCTCGTCCTCATAATCATCATCAGCATCATCATCAGCATCATCATCATCCTCATCATCATCATCATCATCATCATCATCATCATCATCATCATCATCATCATCACCGTCATCATCATCATCATCATCATCATCATCATCGTCAACATCATCAGCATCATCATCAGCATCACCATCAACATCAGCAGACGCATCATCATCATCATCATCACCATCATCATCATCATCATAATGCTCATCAGCATCAGCAGCATCATCATCCCCACCACCATCATCATCATCAGCCTCAACACCACCACCACCACCATTACCACCACAACCACCATCATCATCATCGTCATCATAATCAGCAGCGCCAGCATCATCATCAACAACAGCATCATCAACAGCATCATCACCAGCATCAGCATCATCGTCATCATCACCACCACCATGATCGCTACCATCATCATCATCATCATCATCATCAGCAGTAGCAGCATCTTCATCATCATCATCATCATCATCATCCTCATCACCAGCATCATCATCATCGTCGTCATCACCATCATCATCAGCAGCATCATCAGCATCAGCAGCATCAACCTAAATATCAGCATCACCACCACCACCACAACAATCATCATCACAATCATCCTCCTCCTCGTCCTCCTCCATTTCCCTCCTCCTCCTCCTCATCATCAGCAGCATCACAATCATCATCATCATTATTATCAGCATCATCATCATCGTCAGCAACATCATCGTCATCAGCATCATCATCATCAGCAGCATCCTCGTCATCAGCATCATCAGCGTCACCATCATCATCAGCAACATCATCAGCATCAGCATCGTCATCGTCCTCATCCTCATCCTAGTCAGCATCATCAGCAGCAGCATCAGCATCATCCTCATCATCAAACGCATCAGAATCATCATCATCATCATCATCATCATCATCATCATGATCATCATCATCATCATCAGCAGCAGCAGCATCACCATAATGCTAACCAGCATCAGCAACATCATCATCACCACCACCATCATCAGCATCATCAGTATCATCATCATCACCACCACCAGATTCAGCATCATCAGCAGTAGCAGCATCATCACCATCCTCATCATCAGCATAATCATCATCATCATCATCATCAGCATCATCAGCATCATCATCATCATTATCATCATCGTCATCCAGCATCATCATCAGCATCAACCTAAATATCAGCATCACCACCACCATCACCACAATCATCATCACCACCATCCTCCTCCTCCTCGTCCTCCTCCTCCTCGTCCTCCTCCTCCTCCTCCACATCTTCATCATCATCATCCTCATCATCAGCATAATCATCATCATCGTCATCATCAACATCATCATCCGCATCATCATCATCAGCATCATCATCAGCAACATCATCAGCATCATCATCATCGTCATCATCGTCATCATCGTCATCCTCATCCTAGTCAGCATCATCAGCAGCAGCATCAGCAGCATCATCATCATCAACCGCATCATCATCATCAGCAGCATCATCATCATAATGCTTATCATCATCAGCAGCATCATTATCACCACCATCATCATCATCAGCATCATCACCACCACCACAACCACCATCATCATAATCGTCATCATTGTCGTCATCATCATCATCAGCAGCATCATCAACAACAACATCATCATCAACATCATCATCAGCATCATCATCATCGGCATCATCACCACAACCACCATAGTCGGCATCATCATCAGCAGTAGCATCATCATCATCCTCATCACCATCATCATCCCCTGCTACCTGTCTAAGCAGGCAAGCGGCAAGCCAAAGCGCCCGAGGCCGCCTCCGGGTACAGCTCGTAGAGGGGCACATGCCGCGACCAGTCCTGCGGCCGCCGCGTACCCGGCAGGGTGATGGGGAGGTTCGGAGGCGGCCAGGGGGTCTGAGCAGGCGAGGACCCCATAAATGAAGGGGCCCAGGGACACACACATAGATAGACACAAATTACAGGATCCCATATCTTTTGCACTTTCATCTTCCCCCCCACTTCCCACAGTTTCCCACATCTTCTGGGCAGTCGACGATTGCTTGTGTGTCTATATGTTTTTCCCCTCCTGATGAAAAAACGGTCAGAAGGGGGGGTGAGGCCAAATCCGCTCAATATCGGCACCTGGACCGCTCACGGAGTCCATCTGGTGCAATCTTTCACCCTGGATTGGTGTTTCACTGCCCGCGGCCCCAAAATCGGCCCGTGGCCTGGAGGTAGGAAGACACAAAAAACCTTCCCGAACCCAAAACCTCGAACCTGGGCCGCTCTTCCTGCTGGCCGGAACCAGTGCTGGGTCACCTCAGAACCCCAGACGGCTCCAAGGGGAGATTGTTGTTCCCCATCTCCTAAGCTGGGGGTACTCCATCACTCCCTCCTCCTCCTCCTCCTAAACCTCGCGTCCTCCTCCTCCACTTCAGACACACTCGGGAGGAAAGAACATATTATCTTTTGATATTTCCGGTAACGGTCGTTTCCTGCGGAGGAGGGAAAGGGGGGGGCCCGCGGTAACGGTAAGGCGCGCTTGGGCGGGGGGGGGGACACATCGGGGCGGGGGTGCGCTGCGATCGCCATAGTATGCGCGCGAACTCCAGCATGTGGGGGGGGTCCAGGCCACCCCTACATACGCTCGTTCTGCTCGTTACCGTGTAACCCGGGGAGGGGCGGAGGTAGCCCGGGTAACGACCGTTACGCGCCAAAGTATTTGGGGAAGTACTGACCCAGGTCAATGCAAACCCGGGTCAGTCAGGCCGTGCAGGATCCTGCAGGATCCTGCAAGATCCTAAAAGATCCTGCAGGATCCTGCAAGATCCTGCACCCAAACCCAGGAGATCAGTACACCCTTGGCCCTACAGGATCCTGCAAGATCCAGCGCTCAGACTGACCCCCGTTTGCACTGACCCCCGTCCCTTGAGCCCCGAAGTAGATTCAAAAATGAAATCCTGGGTGGGGGGGGGGGCGGAAGAGGTCCTGGCAACCTCCCGTCGTGGAAAAAACACAGCGGAAGGTGCTTGACACGTTTGGGGGCCACAACCGGGTCCGGCTCAGAATGAAAAGCCAGTCCCCAGGAAGGGGTCCGGACCTCTGGGGAGCCACGCTGCGAAGAAATCCCGAAGTCGGATGTCCGTGGGCGAAAGATACGGGAGGAGATGGAGGAGGAGGAGGAGGAGAAGGAGGAGGAGGAGGAGGAGGGGGAGGCTGGAAGGCTGTAGGTGAGACAGCGCCTGCACACAGACACAGCTCGAAGATGCAGCAAGAAAAGAGCACGGCTCTGGGCATGCAGAGCGGACCTCGTCGCCCGGCGACCCGCTGGCCAGCCCAGGCGGCGCGGTGCGTGCGGCCGCCGGGCACGAGCCTTCGCCCAAGCGGTTGGCATTGCGCCCCGGGGACAGCTGCCCCAGCCACACGAGGCCCCACGGGGTCTGCGTGGCACACGCCACCACCTCTCGCGGAGAGCGCAAATGCCCGGGGGCCGCCGAAGACCACCACAGGCGCCTGGCCCTCGCCGCCACCAGCAGCGCAATGCTGAGGCCGAGGGCCGTGCTGCATCCCACGACGGAGGCACCCCCCCGCCGATACAGGTTTCGCAACGTTCGCGCCCAGACCCAATGCCTGCTGCGTTCCGCACCGAGACCAAGGGCCGGGCTACACCCAACGCTGGAGGTACCCCCCCGCCGAGACAGGTTTCGCAACGTCCACCTCCAGCCCCAATGTAATCACAGGCTGGTTGCCACTCACCCAGACCGTGGACGCATGCTGTGACAGTGTGCCCGCGGGGTCGGACTGGAAACCAAGGGAGAGGGGGAGGAACGAGGAGGAGGAGGAGGAAGAGGCGGAGGAGGGGGAGGGGAAGAGGAACAGGCGCGGGCCCCAAAAATTTGCCCCAGGATCACCTGGAAAGCCCGAAAGACACCCCCAAGACGGCCGTCTTGAGGAGGTGACCTGTTTCAGTGGGGATATATCCCCTCGTTTGCATCATCACCAACATCACCACCACCACCACCACCGCCACCGTCTTCATCATCGACATTAACATCGCGTCGTCGTCGTCGTTAACAGCGGCGGCGGTATCATCTGCAGCAGCATCTGCATCATCAAAAGTCTTGCTCCTCATCATCCTCCTCATCATCCTCTTCCTCATCCTCATCATCACCATGATCACCCTATGGTCCTCATCATCAGCAGCAGCATCATGCACATCCTTATCACCAGAACCATCCTCATCCACCTCCTCATCGTCATCATCATCAGCAGCAGAAGCAGTATCATAATTATCAGGTTTCAGGTTTCAGGTAGTACCATAGGTCGAAACAACGCAGGCCTAGAGCAATGAATGCGAATGGCCCGTTCTGGGAAGTCAACCCTCGAAGGAGCAAAGACCCCAGGACCACACGGCACGTCACCAGGCTCAACCACATAGCAGGACAGGTGCATAGGCACTGGGGGAACAAAAGACGAGGCACCCAGGCAGCCTCGAGCCCGGCCCGTTCGCGCGAACCCCTTCAACCAACTTTGGCACAGGCTCGAGGGGTCTGATCAGGGGTCTGGAGGCATTGCTGGTCTGTGACAGCCACAACCTCGGGGCCTCCTCGACGGCGGCTTTCGCTGGTGGTGAGCTGGTCAGGGCTGCCTGAAACGGCAGCAAAGTGGACGTGGAGCATTCGAAACTCACTCCTGACATTCTGCCCCAGACTGCCAGGGTGATGTCGGTGGTGGCAACGTGTTCCAGGCCACGGAGGTGGACGATATCAGAAAAGGCCGAAGGGTGAGGGACGACAAGGTGCCACCACCGATCTCCCTACAAGATCAGAACGCCTGGAGTCTGAGACTTTTTTGATTGCGAGTGACGCGGAATCAGCCGCGCACCGTCAAGAAAGGTCGATCGAAATGCTAAGCCGCGCATTGGCAAAGCAGCGGAAAAAAGGAACGAGCCACTACGCAAACAGCGACCTGGAGTCTGAGACGCTAAGCATCGGAAAAGAGCAGCAGCGGCTATCCTCAGGGCAACATTCCCGCCACGCAGAAGTTCCCGGCCGCCCGCTCCGAGGCCTCGACGGCACCACAGCCCCGAGACGCCTCAAAGCTCGGTGCGGGTGCGGCTGCTCGAGACGGCCTCCGAGGGGGCGGGGGGCGTCGGCCCAGCCCACGTCCCACTCGGGAGGAGCAGCCACGTGGACGGTTTCCCCTGGGGCCGTAGCCAACCCGAGGAGGGGAGGGCGAGGAGGGGGAGGAGGAGGAGAAGGAGGAGGAGGAGGAGGACCAATGTAAATCCAAGAGTCATCAACGATGTTGGAATTAACCCTCCCTCCAAGTTCCCTCTTCATAGGCCCCTACAACGGTTCATTTCCATTGAGGGAACTGCCTCGTTGGAAGACAACCGTTTGAAGACCCTGAAACATGCCAAAACATCGTTCTCGGTATTTCAACGCCACGGATCAACCTGACTCCTGCGTCTTGACGATCAAGAATCGTGCCAGAATGCCATTTTGGGGACTTCGACACCGCGAATCAACATAACTGTTGCACCCGCGTAATCATGCATCGTTCCAAAACGCCATTTCCGGTACGTTAATCATGGGAATCCGTGAAACCCTTGCAGTTTTTGGAAAACGAATTTGGCGGCGCTAAGGCGAGAGCCACATTTTGAAAACCACTCGCCCTCAATCGGTGAAAAAGTCCCAAATATTACAACGAATGCGCGCGGCGCGAAGGCGAAAACCACATTTTGAAAACCACCCGTCTTCAATCCGTGAAACTGTTTGATTTGAAAATGTTTAAAACGAATGCGCGCGGCGCAAATGCGATAGCCCCATTTTGAAAACGGCCCGCCCTCAATCCGTGAAACTCTTGCACATTTGCACAACGAATGCGCGCAGCGCTAAGGCGAGAACCACATGTTGAAAAGGAACCGCCCTCAATCAAGAAAAACTTTCGCAAGTGTTTAAAATGAATGTGCGCGGCGCTCAGGCGCGAGCCACATTTTGACAACCACCCGCCCTCAATCCGTGAAAGTCATCCAATTGTTGTTCAACGAATGTGCGAGGCGCTCAGGCGAGAGCCACATTTTGAAAGCGACCCGCCCTCCATTTGTAAAACTGCTGCAACTTCAGAATCATAATGGTGAGGAAGTCTCAGGCGAAACGCCCGGCCCGCCCAAAAAACTGGCCTTGGGGGTGCGACAGGGAGAAATTCCCCAATCAAAGCTTGCCTCTGTAGGGGTCCTAGCGGATTCATATGGTTAGGTTAGGCTTGTCGCCGATTTTCGCTGCACGCCCGGGTGCCCGGGTGCCCGGGGGTGCCCGGGGCCCGTATGCCCGGGGGGGGGCCCGGGGGTGTCCGGGTGCCCAGGTGCCTGGGTCCCGGGTGCCCGGGCGTGCCGGGGGGTGCCCGGGGGCGCCTGGGGGTGCCCTATATATATATATATATATATATATATAAGCCCCATCGCCCTATAGCCCTATGACCCAATAGCCCAGTAGCCCTGCAGCCCTACAACTCTGTAGCCCTATAGCTCTGTAGCCCTATAGCTCAATAGCCCTATAGCCCTATAGCCCCCTAGCCCTACAGCCCTGATAGGGGTTTTTCCCCGGTGCCATTATGAAAAAGGAAAGGGAATGGAGGAGGAGGAGGAGGAGGAGGAGGAGGAGGAGGAGGAGGAGGAGGGGGGGAGGAGGAGGAGGAGGGAGGGAGGGGGGAGGAGGAGGAGGAGGAGGAGGAGGAGGAGGAGGAGGAGTGAGTGAGTGAGGCAAAGACTAAGTCTTGTCAGCAGCAGGCAGGGGGCAGAAGGAGGAGGGCGGGGGGGCAACGCGCGCGCCCCGCGGCGCGCGCGCGGGGGCGGC